GTCAATTTCTCAAATTACTTAATGACATCATATTTTTATCAAACAACTTGCCTTACATTTCATTCTTTTAACTTTCTACAGGTTTGTCTTATGACCTATCATATGGCCTATCTTGGAGAATGTTTCATATATACTTGAGAAAAGTGTATATCCTGCGGCTGATGGTGGAGTGTTCCACAGATGGCCATTATTTTAGTTGAATTACAGGGTCATGCAGATCTTCTATTTTCTTGTTGATCTTCTGCCTATTGTTCCTATTCATTATTGGAAATGAAGTTTTAAAGTCTCCAATTATTATTGTGGATCTATTTCTCTGTTCATGTCTCCTAGCTTTGTTCCATGTACATTATTAGTACTTTATAATTGGGGATAGGTTTATATGTATATATGTTTATTGCTAAATATTCTGATGGGCTGAACCTTTTATGGTACAGTGTCCCTCTTCATCACTGTAACATTTTTCCAAGATCTATTTTGTCTGACATTCCTGTTTCCCCTCCAGCTTTCTTGTGGTTGATGTTTGCACGACAATCCTTGGTACCAAACAAACAACAACAACAACAACAACAACACAAAACACAGGTCAAATTTACAGGCTTAGGGATTTTTGTCCTTTTTGGAGTTTCCTGAAAGGGAAAAAGGCATTGTAACTTGGGTAATGGTGTCCTGAAACTGCAGTTTTTCTTAAAAGTATAATTTTTAAATTATGATGTTCTTTGTGTCCTTTATACTTCTTTTTTATTCCATCTTATCTCACCATGAACTGCTGAGAAACCTCTCTAGGTTATATTGTATCATAATTGTATCATAAAAAATTTCCATTTTCTTTCTGGCTTTTTTTGTCTTTTTTTTTGTTTTTGTTTTTGTTTTTTTGAGACAGGGTCTCACTGTGTAGTTGAGAATGACCTGGAACTCACCATGTAGCCCAGGCTGGTCTTGAACTCACAGTGATCCTCCTGCCTCAGCCTCCTGAGTGCTGGGATTACAAGCATGCACCACCAGGCCCAGCTATCTTTGGTTTTTTGAGATAGGGTCTCAGTATGTAGCCCAGACTAGCTTCGAACCCATGGCAATCCTCCTGTCTCAGCCTCCCAAGTGCTGGGATTACAGGTATGCACCATGGTGTCTTGTGTAATAATTTCCATTTTCTGCCCAGAACCCTGCACTGAGGGTCTCAGTGTAGAGCCCAGACTTCTTGAACTCACAGTGATCCTCCTGCCTCAGCCTCCCCCGAGTGGGGATTACAAACATGCACCACCAGGCCCAGCTATCTTTGGTTTTTTGAGATAGGGTCTCAGTATGTAGCCCAGACTAGCTTCGAACCCATGGCAATCCTCCTGTCTCAGCCTCCCAAGTGCTGGGATTACAGGTATGCACCATGGTGTCTTGTGTAATAATTTCCATTTTCTGCCCAGAACCCTGCACTGGTGACTATTTGTGTGAGCTCCTTAAACCTGCACCAGAGCCCTGTTGCCCTGTGCTGTGTGCCATGACTGCACATGCATGTGTTCTGTGGAGGGGGGGAGCGGGGGTAGGGCAGGGAGGAGAAGAGTATGATGGCGCTGTTCTGAGACAGTGCCCTTGCCCTGGAGAAGGACAGGAAACAAAGCCAGGATTAGGTGCTCAGCACGAAGGGGCTCTGAGCTGCTCCTCTGTGCTAGGGCTCGTGCTGGGCACCGTGATGACAGTTGTGTCCCTAACAGGCCCACAAACCTAACAGTTTCCGGGAGAGGAAGTAGGTAGATCACGTGGTGTGGTTAGGAAAGGCCAGGGGCAGGGAGTAGTGACTCCAGGCCTTCAGCGAGGGCCTCTCTGAGGAGAGACTGTGTTGAGACCCTAGGGCTGAGGAGAACCCAGCCTCAAAAGTTCTTGAGGACTGGTGCTCCCGGCGGAGGGAGCAGCGGGGCCAAGCCCCGAGGTGGGAAGGAGCTGTTCGTGTTTGAGGAACAGATACAGGAAGTGAGAATGAAGGGTGGGGAGGGCCTCCGGGCAGGAGCCTGGCCCCCAGCGCGGAGGGAGGCGACGGGCGTGGTCACCCAGGGCCCAAGGCGTCCTCTCTGGGCTCCTCTGACACTGTTTCTTGTCTGTCCTCACCACTTCCCCTGCAAGGCCTACAGTCCAGCTCCGACTTCCTTATCACCGCGGGGCTCTTGGGCCCCTTCTGAGGAGGGAAGTGGGGCCTTTGCACACATTCCCTTCCTGTAGGAATTCCTTCCTGCCTTCACACCTGCGTTTACTCACGTGTGCGCACTTGTGTCCCCTCACCCATCACAGGCTGATTTGCCGGGGGTCTTCTGCCCTTGCAGGTGCCTACAAAGAAGAAGCTAAAGGAAAAATCTTGTCCCTCAAGTCTCTGCTTCCAATGCCACCTTGTCGGAGCGGCCCAGCTAACAGCCCTGCCGATGCTCCGCTAGCTGGGTCACTTTCCTCTGGACAAAACAGGACAGCTCTGGGCTCCCAGGATCGTGCTCTGTCAATGAGAGATAGATTAGCCTCACAGGGATTCATTTCCCTTTTTCTTTTTTCTTTTAGAATCGAGCTTCCTTTTTCTTAAGTCTGTGTGCTTTGGACAGGACCAGTCTCATCCCCTGTGGCCACCAAGGAACCCCTCCTCCAGGTGGAGCCAGTGAGACACAGCTGCAGGACTTTTGCTGGAAAATTTGGGAAAAAGTTTCTTCCTGCCTCAGTTACCGCTCTTGTAGGCTGTATACAGCAGGAGTTGCTGGGGTCCATCCCCGCCCCCAGGAGGAGAGGCTGTGTGCACACTAAATTAACGTTAAAGAAAGCAGAGGCGAGAGCCCCAGAAAGGCCCAGTCCTCAGTGAATTGTTTCAGCACCTGGATCCAGCCGTTTCTGAAATCTGAACTCCCCCAGACTTTCTATTTTAAGAACCAATACATTCCTGTTGTGCTTAAGTTGTTTTGGGTTTCAGTCTCTCTGATCATAAAACCTCAGAGATGAGCAGGAACTTTCCTCTTTGGCGGACCTGGGCAGGTACTTCCTCCTCTAAGAAACTACTCCCCCTGCAGAGGCTCTGGTTCTGAGATACCAGGAGTGTTGAGGTTTGTTCAGCCTGAGCCATAAGAGCAGAATTGAAGTGGGGAACCAGCAGCTGAGAACTGGGAATCTGCATTATTAATAAGCAAATCCATTTTCCTTTACTCTTCTTTGCAGGCAGAGCCCTCATTTGATTAGGCTGTTTATTCATTCTGCCATGGGCTCAGAAAAAGCACCCTCGGTCTCTGCCAGGTCGACACCAGCCTGAGTTCTGTCTCCCTACTAGGGACTGGCCCTAGAAGAGGGCCATGACACATTCCAACCAAGGACACTTAAGGGGAAATCCCCCAGGGCTGGTGTGTGTGAGGATTTGGGGGAGGGGAGGATGTTTCTACTCTTGAAAAGTAATGCAAGAGAAAGAAACTTCCACCAAGAGCAAGCAAGGCAATATGAGGAGGCATTAATTATAATGAAAGTAGACGCTCTTAAACTGTTGGTCTAAAACAGATTTGTAACAGTCATGTGTTTACTCTTTCCTTCCATCCATGTGGGAGAAGAGGGGGTGGTAATACCATTATTCTGGCTTAACAAAGAAAAGACTCACAAATATTTATCCTTTTCAGAGTGCACACGCCAATTTCCATAGTATTCCCAGGGCAATAGATTATTAAGTAATACATCAAATCCTAATGACAGATTCTGGAAAGTAAGTTTCCTTTCACAAGACGTATCAATGATCTTTGAGGATGTTGTGGCCTATAAAGAATATTTTCAAGGAGAGTTTTGTGATGCAGAGGGATGTCTGTTTTTGGCAGCTGCAATGACAGAGATCATTTTTTCTTCTTGTTTTTTTTAAATAATTTCTTTCAATAGCACTCAAAAGAGCCCATAATCTTCAAGAGCTAGAGTCCCATAGTACCAAGAACAAAATCAGAGAATCTAAGCACTTGAAGGAAAAGAAATGAGCAGAGTATAATTGTAGCAAAAAAAAAAAGTGTAAGGTTGTAGTGTTTTGCATTTGCGGGAAATGATGGCTGGTACTGTGGCAGCCATATTGCCACCATGGGGGATGATATGGCCAACGCACCAAAGAGAATGAGTACATGAGGACATCACTCAACTTATGCATTGACCACTATAGTGCCTCCTTGCCTTTGCGGAAGTATAGCTTTACAGAATAATAAAGGCCCTTAGTTTTTGAGATGTCTGGAATTTGTTCTTCCCTTGCAGCCAGTAGCAGCCCACATCATGGACCCAGGGTGAGTGATGGGGGAACCGGTGTGGTGTGGGAACTGAAACAGTACTATGGCTAGTCATTGCTTGCACTAGTGGCCTCCCTAGGGATTGATTGTCCCAGCTGTCTGCCTTGAGAGCCCCTGTTTCCCTGCTGTGCATGATTATGAGGACCATAAACTAGAAGGAAGCCACAAATTAACTCTAGCTACCAACCACAAAATTTAATTAAGGACGCATCCTGAATGTACTCATCAGCACCCCTGATAGTTGAACTGGAAAGGTATAAAAAGATCAGAACCAGTATCGCCTTTTTGTGTACTGGGGTGTGGGAATCATCAGAAGGAACACAAAGGAACTTTATGGTTAATGGAAGTGTTCTTTCTCCTAATATGAGCTACTAATACGTAAATGTGTGCATTGGTCCAAACTCGGCAAATGCATGCTCAAGATACGCACATTTCATTGCGTGCAAATTTTACTTTTAAAAAGAATGGTAAACACTGAACTCTAGATGATATGCATGCTGAAATTTTAGAGGCAAAGATGAGGATGTTCTTTAACATCCTTTGCTTTAAAACACATCAAAGGAATCAGATGAATTGATGAATAAACGGAAAGATGGACTAGTAGACGTGATAAAGCAAGATTCAGAAAATGTTAATTAGAACATTAGACGGTGAGTATATGAGCGTAATAGGAGCATTCATTCAATTTTTTCTATAGATTTGAAATTTTTCATAATTAAAAACTGGGAGGAGAATGCCACCAGACAGGGCCTGAGGAGGTGCCCCAGAGAAAAGATGGGATCTCCACTCATCCCCCGCTCAGGGAGTAGATGGTTTGCTGGCTTTTATCACAGAAAGGCCTTTCAGGATGTGTCAGTGAGAGGCATAAGCAGATTTATCAGGCAGAACCAATGAAACACACTGGGAGTAAAGAGAGCACAAGCATACCCGAGAGCTGTGCGCTGTGGTGTGGGGCCGGGAGTTTCTGCGTGGTCTTGGGTGTACGTTCCAGATGGAGGCTCTAGGCTGTGGGTACTTCCTGTGTGTCAGGTTAGTGGGCTCTTGTGGAATGCAAATCATTTGCAGGTGTTTGAAGTTTAGAGCTGTGGCATCCAATCAGTACAGTAGTTTTGTTTCCATGAGGGTGGAGGTCGGCAGAATTCATGTATCTGTAGCACGGGAGAGAAAGCTCAGGCTCGTTTGGTATGATTCGCTGTATCTCTTAGACTCAGGAATTTGGGGAGTGAGTTTCTTCCCCCCGAAAATAAAAATATAGGAATCTTGGGTAACTTTGTTTCCTATAATTTTTCTTGAAAGGACAGTACAATTTAAAAATTGTGATGGGCCGGGGATTTAGCTCAGTGGTGCTGTCACCTGCCTCATAAGTTCAAGGACCCGAGTTCCATCCCCGGTACCTAAAAATAAAAATGATGATTTTCCTTGTCTTTTTTCTACCTGTTTTTATTTCTTCTATCTTACCTCAAAAAGCCTATCTAGTCGGCCCTTGGTAGCCAGGGGACTGGTTCCTGGGCCCTCTCAGATCTCACATCTGAGAATGCTCGAGTCCCTTATGTAAAATGGTGTTGGGTTTGTAATCTAACCTAACACAGCCTCCTGTAGACTTTACATCTCTTGATTGCTGACAGTACCTAGTGCAATGGCAATGCCATGCAAACAGCTCTTCTGCTGCATTGTTTAGGAAATAAGGACAAGGGAAAAGAGTTTGTGCATGTTCTGTATAGATGCATTTTTTCTCCAAAATATTTTCAATCCCCAGTTGGTCGAATCCAGATGTATATGGAACCCGCAGATGCAGAGGACCAACTCTGTACAGTCCGAAATCAGGTCCACTGCTGTGGCAGATCCCAAACACTTGGCTCGAACCAGGCAAAAATCTGCAGTGTTCCCGGTGACACCCACCCCACCAGACCCTGCATCCTGCTCTTGTGTCCCCCAGGGAGGTGATTCTCAGCAGCTCAAGACCATGAGGCCATGCCGCAGGCTGAGGAAAAGGAAGGCAAAAAGAAACAGAGGTTCTGTTATTGAAAGATAGCTACTACAGACGCCAAAGGGGCCATGTTGATCACTGTGGTAACCACAGCCTCCGACACACCTGACGTTGGGCACAGCCCTGCTCTGAGAGGTTAGCATGGATTAACATGTTTCCCCCAGCTTGCACACCTGTGGTATATGCGTGACTGTCCCACAGCGGCTTGCACCATGGGTGGCAGAAGTGGTTATAGTTGTGCATGGGACAATGGTCCCACCAGTAGTAGGAGACAGGAATTATGAAGCCTGTCTGAACTCGTGAACGAGTTGGTTCATTTACTCCCCACTGCTGTCCCCTGAGGCAGTTGCTGGCTTCTCATCTGCAGTTGAGGAAGCCCAGTCCGGTGCCCCATCCCCCAAGCCGAGCTCCTCTCACTTGTTATGTTGAAAGGAGCACAGTATATGAATCGGGACAGGAAGTCACAGAGAATGGTTTTGTGGGTCACACTAGTGAATCACAAGACAGTGCCATAACGACCTTGGGAAGAGAAGCCTCACAGCAAAAGCTGGGTCTGATGCTCACCTCTGGTGGAAGGCAGTGGGGGAAGACAGTGGCAAAGCCAGCAGGCCAGCCAGTCAGGATGGGAGGCTGCAAGTCAAGAGCTTGGAATCTGGAGGGCTCCTCGCATGCAACCCTGAGTGTCACTAGGTCCCGTTCTTGTTAAGTGTCCCCATCCCTTCCCTGGGACATCTGAGCAGAGGGACAACAGCATGAACACTGAAACACTGAGGGCTCGGACACTCTGCCTGCAGGGGGAGCTCCCTCTGGGAAGGCCTGGAATCGTCCCCTGGGACAGATCCACGCAGGGAGGGGTGCACCTGAAACGAGGCCCGGGCTGAATGAGCACAGCCCTCACCTGTGGGGAGCATCACGGAGCCGCTGATCTGACACGGCCCCTAGGCTGGTTCACTCTGTCCTCCCAGCAATGAGAACGTGGTGGGTGCAGGCTCTTCCCTGGAGAGGTGACTCCATCCGTGCGAGGCCATGAGCTGGGGACCCCTCTGTGAACCTCCTGCCACAAAGATCAGCACCAGACAAGGCTAAGAGAAGCATCAACTCCCCAAAGGCGAGCCCTATGTGAGGATTTCTGGGTCCCTCATTCCCACTTCAGCCACAGTGACCACAACGTCAGCTGTAGAAATGCCAAAGGCATCAGTGGCAGGAGTAGTGTGAGTCCCACACACACAGGGAACTCCTTCTACAGAAGCCACCGGGTTGCTTAACTGATGTGGGTGCTACCTGGAAAACCAGGGATTCATCATAAAACGGCCTTTATAGAGAGACCACTGAGGCTGGGTGAGTCTTCCTATGTGGAGGAGTTGGGACACATGCCCAGCCTATTCTAATGTTAGCTATTGTGAAAAATAGGATTATGGCCATGACTTAAAAATTAATTGCGAGGGATGATGATACATACTTGTAATCCCAGCAGGAGGGAAGCTGAGGTAAGAAGATTGCTGTGAGTTCAAGGCCAGCCTAGACTGTATAGCGAGACTGTTTCCAAACAATAACAATCAAGAGCCAGGAGTGAACTTGTAGTTGCAGCTCCTTGGGAGGCTGAGGCAGAAGCATCCCTTTGAGCCTAGGAATTTGAGATCAGCCTAGACAACACAGCAAGACTCTGTCTGAAAAAGAGAGAGAGGCGAGAGGGGAGGAGAGGGAGAGAAAAAGGAGATAATAAGAAAAAACAAAGGAAGAAAGATGGAAAAAAGAAGAGGAATGGGAATGAAGAGACGAGAAGAAAACATTTTAGTAGCAGAAAGAAGGAAGAAAACGAAAGATGTGTGAAGGAAGAAGAAAGCGTAAAGCAGGTAGAATGTTCCAGAGATTCCCAGGAACAACTGAAAACAGTTTAGTCCCTAAAGGAGTTGATGCCAGGGTAGAAAATGTGCAGGTGGGCAGTTTGCCAGCTCAGAGCCCCCTGGATTCTATTCCCAGCCCCAACGTGTTCTGACCGTGAGGCTATGAGTAACTCACCCTCTGTCTCCAAGCCTCAGTTTCCCCACCGTGGAACGCGGTCGAGCACGCCCCACCCACAGGTCGGCATGAGATCCTGACGGAGCTGAATTGCTGCCTTTGTGAGGAGCAGGTGGCTCTCCACTTGTACGATGCCATTCTGTTTACCCAGTCTGCCCTTGGCAGACAAACCCCGACGCTAGAAATAGCCACGTGTCGGTTTCTCATAAATGTGTTAAATATGACTTGGAGTCTTGCCCAGGTTTCCTGTCAGGGTGGTGGGCAAGGACTGTTTTGCAGGAGCTCTGCTGGGAGTCAAGGTCACGATCATGTGCAAGTGCGTGAACCAAGACTCCAAAGGAACCTCCGCTGCCCTGAAGCAGCTGCCGGCTCTCCCACCCCACGCCTCCTTGGCTCAGGGCCACGCCTGGCCAGCTCTGCCGGGTGACTCAGGCCCAGCCACCGACCTGGTTGCCTGGCTTCACCCTTCCGGCCCATCCTGCCTTGGATCAGTCTGTCTACGGATGGTTCTGGGAAGGCTGTGCCAGTGGTGACGGAGGACAGAGGGAGAGGCGGACACAGGACTCACTAGAGCCTTGGGCTCTCCTGTCCTGGGGACCCTTCTCCCATTTACGCCATGAAGTTTTCTGAGGCTGGCTCTGCTCCTGGCTGAGGAGTGGGACGTGGAGAAAGCAGATGCAGATTCCACACCTATCGCCTGACTCCAAGGCCCAGCTGCCCTGTATGTGACCTCAGTTTCCCCATCTGTGAAATATAGACAACGACGGTGCCCACCTCACTGGTTTGCAGGAGGAATTGAACGGATGGTGACTGTCACAATGCAGATCAAGAATGCCCCCCAGAGGCCTCATAGGCTCACAGGCAGGGGTTACGGAAGGTGACTGGCTCATGCAGCGGTACAGCTTGGCCTGCGGGAGGTGGGGTCTGGTCAGAAGAGGGGGTCATGGGGGTGTGACCTGGAAGTGAATTGCTCCCTCCCAGGCTCCTCCCTTCACTCTTTGCTTCCTGGCTGCTCTGATGGAAGCAGCTTTCCCTCCCGCTGTGCTGTTTCTGCCCTGGAGGTGGCCAAGTATGGGTTCTATCCATGAGCCAAAAAAATCCTGTCCTCCTTTAAGTTGTGGGTATTGGGTATTTTGTCCCAGCTATGGGAAAGTACTTAAGACAGTGATGACAGTAATTTCCTGACATGCCGAATGGAGTCGAGTATCTCCTCCTAATGAGGGTTTGCTTCTAGTGCTGTTTTTCTACTAGAACTCGGTGGTGGTCAGAAGCAAGCAACTCTCAGTCCTGCCACTTACAATCAACGTAATCTTAATCATGGGCTTAATCTCTCTATGCCTTAGTTTCCTCATCTGTAAAATGGGAGTGTTTCTTATTTATACCTAGTAGAGGCTGATGAGAATAAGTTAACACCTGCCGAGTACTTGGAACAGTGTCAGCACACAGTGAATATTGTTATTTTTGCCACACTGAAAATACTGCTGCTATAAGAAGGTTGAGCTTGGGGCTGACGGTAGAGCCTCATAGTGGAGTGCCTGCCAAGTATGCACAAGGCCTTGAGTTGTGTCCCTAACTCCATTTTTAAAAAGTGCTTTCTTTCTGCGGAGGTCGCTAGGCTGCTATGAAGTACGCTGAAACTGCTGGAGGCCAGTTTGTCTTCTCTAGGTGTAACCACGGCCGTCTTCTCTCTGGGCTCCTGTCCTGGAGATGTTGAAGGTTGAGGTCCAGGGCCAAAGCGGTGGGAAACAAACTAAGTATAGGTCAATAGAAAGAACAAGCTGAAAGCTCTTGCTAACTAAGAGAGGCTCCCAGAGAGGATCCGAGGCGGCAGCCAGGTTTAGGTAGGGGTTCGTGTACACTCTGTGGGCTTGTGTTGGTGAGCACAAGAAGACGAGACCAGGAAAAAGTGTGGTTGCTGCTTTTGGCTAGGCTCTGACATCAGGAGGAGTAGACTTTCCTTGTACTCCAGCTTCTCAGGCCTCATCGCAAAGGACAGACCCTTGCCCTTTGAAACGATGTGGTTGCCATTTTTAGCTCAGCCTCCAATGTTAGAACAGGTTTCTCTAGCCCTACAGCTTCCCAGGGAAGACCTCAGTGAACCAACCTCCTTTTCTTCTTGTTATAACTTTTCTAGGCCCCATTTTGGTTTATTTAAGTCTCTGTCTAGGTGTCTACTGTTTGTCTATCTCATCGTTCCCATTGAGAAGCATCTGCTGGAGAATTCAGGCAATTGAGGAAAAAGGCGGAGCTGAAAGGTGGAGGAAGACAACTTTGAAGGACATTGTGTGAACATCTGGATCCAACTGTGCCTAGAGCAGAACTGCTGCTGAATCTCTCCATTCCAAGAGTCCACAAACCCTTTCTCAATTTAAATGCTTTGCTTGGGTTTCTGTTACTTGTAGCCAAATGCATCTTGACCAACACAGAGGGTTACTGGAGCGGGGTGGGACTCAAATAATGTATGGGGAATGTATATAAGGAGGCAGGGGATGCTAGGGAAGGGAAGAGGTGGGACACAGCTCCAGATGAGCAGGCCAACTGTAGCAGTGGCCTCCTGGGCCAACCAGTGACGCCATATTGTGCCTGCTGGTGGGTGGGAGACTGGAGGCTCCCTGCCACCTGCCATGCAGTCCCCTGACGCAGAGCCCTTCAACCACCCTGAGATGACCACAGATGCTTGAGGGGCCCAGCATGACCAGAAGAACTACCCAGCTGGGCAAAGTCTGCATTGTCAACCCCCAGAATGGAAAGAGAAATACAGCAATTTTTTTTTTTTTTTTTTTTTTTTTTTTTTTTGCTT